GGGCTGCGGGTGCCCGGGGTGGCCCCGAGCCCAGCCCTGCTCCAGCCCGGCCGCACCTCATGATGTTTGAGCTGGCTCAAACCCGGTTTAGAACGGCGCTGGGTCACGTTTTGGGCAAGCCAGTCTGCCTGCCAGGGCTGCCGAGATTCTCTAGTGTCTCGTAAGGGCTGGGCTTAACCCATCCGCCGGCGTTCGTGCGACTCGCTGGGGTGTCGCATCTTGGGGATGCTGGTGCCTCATCCCAAATGGGATGGAAAGGTCCCGTGGGCTCGGACGCTGGGCAGGGTGGGTGCCTTCTCATCCCGCATGCACCTTGGGATGGCGTGAGCCTCGTTTCCTTGGAAAACCAGGCTAAGGAGAAAGAAGCTGCTGTCTCAGAAGGAAGAAGAGCTGATTTAATGACTGGGGATATTGGATAAAACCATCCAAGACCCCAAATATTATTTAGGAGTTTAACTCCTTTTAAAAGCCCTGCGCTCTGGATGCTTGGCTATATATACGTTTAGGTGCTTAAATTCCACCTGATGACGGAGGAGGGTCACGGGTGATCCCGATGCCTCAGGGCGGGCAATTAGGGAGCCAGAGCGATTTGCTGGTGGAGGAAAGGGAGCTCCAGAGGCGCCCGGCTCGGTGCACGGTGCAGAGCGGGTGCTTCGGGGTCGGGTCCGCGCAGGCAGCGGCAGCGCCGGTGCGGTGGGCCGGAGGCAGGGAGTCTCTCCAGGTTTCTTATGCTTGCAGATGGTGATCAGAAACTCGAGCCTGTGGTCGGACTTTCTGAAACGGCCACCTGGGCAGGAAACGTGAAAATACCTGGGTTTAAAAATATGTTGGAAAAAAAACCCAACCTAAAACCAAATAAACCCACCCCAAAACCCCAGCTCCAACACCGGGACCATGAAGAGAAAAGGGAGGAGTTTTCAGTCCTCTCCGTCGGATGAGTTTGGAGGGCAGCACGCAGTGCCGTGCTTTTCTCCATCCCTCCTCTTGATCCCATCCGAGAACCGCACTCACCGTGGGGTGTTTTCCTTCCCGTGCAGGGGAGAAGGATCAAGAGCATTACAGCTCCTTTTCTCCCCATGGTGACAAGCAAAAAAAGTGTCGTGAAGTCGCCTTTTTCCTGCGGGGGACTTTATCAAGCGGCATGAGCGAGCCCGGAGGCTGGGACGATGGTCCCCATCCAGCTGGGGTGCCGAGGACCCTGGAGCTGGGATCTGAAAGCAGCAGGAGGAACGTGGTCTGGTAGTTGAAAAAGGTGGTTTGTATCAAAACACCTGGGTTTTATTTGGGGCACAGGGAGGGGAATGTGATTTGAACGCCGCCGCTCCCGTGCAAGAAGCACCGGCTTGTGCGAAGCTCGGGGCAGGGATGAGCAGCGCCGGGGTTTTCTTCTCGTCCCTACCAACATCGCATCTCTTTTTCGAACGCCGCAGAGCTTTTGGCCACGATAGCATCCTGTGAAGAAGTCCCACAGCCGAATTGTGTTAAAATATGTTTCCTTTCACTCAGTTTAAATTTACTGCCCGTTGTTCTCCAGTGTTTATTGTTGCTTCTGGAGAGTTCCTCTCTGGTTTGGACAGTAAATCCGCTGTCTTTTCAGAGGGTTTCTCTGTCCAAGAGCTGCAGCACAAGGAAAGAATTAGCATCTTGCCCTGGGTCCGGATGCGGAGCTGTTGCTACTTCACGCTGCTGCTGGTGGTTTTGAAGATGGTGAAGGTGAATGTTTTTCAGCCAGTTTAAAGAAATGGCAACTCCGAAGGGAAAAGCTGCAAAGCAAACTCGGTGGAAAGTTCCTCCTCTGCCAAATTTTCTTTGCGCGTGTGAAATCCTCGCCTCGGCCCCCAGCCTCGGGGCTGTGGACTTTCTCCTGCGTGGGCTTGCGGTGGTGGAAATGCCGAGCGGACAGCCCCAGTGGATGAAATGAAAATCCTTATTTTTCTTTTGGCTCTTCCCGTACCACCGGCCTTTGAGGGATGCTCTTGTGGCAGCCCGGCGCCTGCATCCCCTGCTCACCAGTGCCAGCCTGAGTGGCGATGCTCTGGGACCGGCGATGCTCTGGGACTGGCGATGCTCTGGGATGCGGGCGGTCCATTGCTCTGGGACCGGCGATGCTCTGGGACTGGCGATGCTCTGGGATGCGGGCGGTCCATCGCTCTGGGACCGGCGATGCTCTGGGACCGCCCGCAGAGGGATGTGGAGCAGCAGCCGAAGGGCGTCCCCCCGGCACCGGCTTGGCATCCCCATGGTGCCGGTGCTGCTCGCAGCCAGACGGTCCCTCCCATTTGCTGCTGGGAAGGGAAACACATACCAATTTGGGGAAATAATGATTCAAGCAGCAAATGCCATCCCTGTATGGTTTGTCCTTGCAACGAGTCTTCCTGGTGGGATTTATGAGAAAAAAAAAGGGATTTTTGTTGCCCTTCGTCTCTCCAGTCTCCTGCCAATGGCCTTTCCTGGGCTCCCCACTGCTTGTCTTCCCTGGAGAGCAAATTGTGGATGTCAGGGGGGGAAATTCTCCCCATTCCCCTCTTGGCTGCTCAAACCAGCACTGAAACCACAGCACGATGCGCGATGAATAATTTTACTCAAAAAAAAAAAAAGCTTAAGTGACTCACATGACTCAATGAACCCCAAAAACCAAGTGTGGGAGTGAGACCGTCAGGGCTTGTTTGTTGTTGGAGCGTGGTCTGAGGAGGAGGCGAAGGACGGGGCCGAGGTCGCTGGGGGGCTTCGGCGGGGCCCGGGGGGGCTCCGTGCTCTGGGGTGGGAGAGGGGCAGGAGGAGCGCTCGGGGCTGGCTGCGGATGCTGCGGGTGAATTTGGGGTGATGGGAGGGGAGAAAAAGCTTCTTTTTTTTTTTTTTTCTCCGTGCTTTTTGTAACAAGACCGAGGGCTGGGGGCTGCCAAGTCGAGGCAGATAGGAAGCTATTTTGGGACTGGCTTTTCCCTCTGCCCGGATCTTGGCATGGGGCATTCTCGCCTTAAATGCAATGTTATTGCTGCTCTTATCTGGCCGCTTGGGGAGAGAACCAGGAGAAAAACATACCTGCGGACAAGCGAACTGGCCGGCTTTCCCTCTTTATCCTCGCTGAAAAAAAGGGGTGACCTCGGGCTGGGGGGGCTGTGTCGGTTTGTGCCCTGGTGCATCCAGACACAGCCTCCGGCATCGGGGATGCGGGTGCCCGGAGGGGGCTGAGTCCCTGCCCCGTTATGCGGAGCGGGGTCACGGAGCGAGGCCGGGAAAGGAGCTGTGCGGGTCCCCGGGGACCTGCAGCGCTTGTCCCTTTGGGGAGAGAGGTGTAGAGCAGAAGATACCCCCCGAGTCGATGCACACGCCCCCCAGATGGATGGAAACAACCGGCATCCGACTGTTGTTGAGCCCGCTTGAACCCCGGGCTGCCTCGGCTTCCTTCGGAGGCCTTCTTCCCCTCGCCCATAAGAATTAGGTGTCTGTGCCTGATTATAGGGTTTTTTAAGTAATCAAATAAAGACATTTTAAAATTCCAAATTGAAGATTAATGCAGAAATTGGAGATGGATTTAAATTGCCCAAGCTAATCACCAGCCACTCGACTGCTTATGACTTTATTAAGAGAAAAAAAAAAAAGTCTGGAGTGTCACGGAGGAATAATGATTCACAGGCTCGTTGCTGCCGTCTCCTCCTCCTCGACGAGCATCGCCGTGCCCAGCCCACACGTGTCCTGCGGCGCGGGTGTTTTTGGGCTCCATCCTTGGGGTTTTTTGAGACCAGGTTGGATAAATCCCTCTGCAGCCCTCCTGGCCCCGGCGCTGAGCGGGAGGATGGAGCAGAGACCTCCCGTGGGCTGGGGGGCAGGAGCCGTGCTGGCGGTGGGAAGGGTGCCGGGAGGGTGCCGGATCCGGGATGGGGTTTGGGAACAGCCGGTCTCACGCCTGTCTCTCTCCTTACACAGGTTTCTGAGCAGCTGCTGACGGCTCAGCCCCGCTGGATCCGGCCACGCAGGAGGATACCATGAAGGGGGGGTTTGGCTTTTTTTGGTTTGTTTTTCATCCGGGGGGAAAAAATAAAAAAAGCCCCCCAAGCTCTTTAATGAAAGCGTTTTAAAAGGGGGTTACTTTTCCCCTCCCCTGAACCGAAGTCGTCGCCGGCGCGGTGAGGATTTCCGGAGAAGATGGGGAGAAAAAAGATCCAGATCCAGCGGATCACGGACGAGCGCAATCGGCAGGTCAGTGCTTTCCCTTCGGCTCTCCGCTCCCTCCTCGCCCGCCTTCCTCCCGTCAGGGTATTTTAAGGGTTCTGCTTCAAAATGACCCATTTCCATCCCATTTTGGGCCAACTGGTGCTTTTTTTTTTTTCCCCAACCCATAAAATAAGCAGATGGGCGAAACCCGGCACCGGGGCCGGATTCAGGCGGATACCCAGAACCAGGCAAACGGCCCCGTTTTGCCGTGGCGAGGAGCCGCGGCCCCCACCCGGGCGTTGCTCCTCGTCTTGGAGCTCCTCGCGCCGTTTCCATCTAAACGCTTTTCCAGAAGAAAGTATCTTCTCCAGTTAGTTCCTTTTTTTTTTTTTTTGTCTTGCAGAAAATATATTTCAGTTGACATTTTCCGTGAGGTTTTTCCAATAAAAAACAGCCACAACAAGTATCCATTTTTCTGAACGCAAACAACCCAAATTATTCTCTTTTTTTTAATTTTTTTTTTCAATTGAAAACTTATACGGGGCCAGGGTTTTTTCCCTTGTGCTGTGTTGAAGCCAAGCCCTAGACACGCACGCACGTGCACGTGTGTAGAAATACACGCGCCTATCTCAGAGGGAAAAAAAAAGCACTAGTTTTTTCCCGAATTTACGTGTTCTTGGAGTCGGACCGGCTGAGCGGCAGCGCTTTGCCGGACCAGCTTTGCTCTGTGATGACTCCATCGATGCGTTTCCCTGGAACCACAAGGGCAGATCCCTTCGCTCCCTGCCTTGCCGCGATCCTTGAGTTTGGCTCGGCAGATCCAAGCCTCTGCCTTTAGTCCGGCCACCGCCCCCGCCCCCCGCCGCAGATGCCGCAGCGTGGCCTGCCACGCTTCTTTTCTACTGCTTTTATTCCAGACAAAAAGGGGAAAAAAAGCATGTGTGTATATTCCTAATGCTTAAAAAGTGGCAAATAACAGAATTGGATGTACTGGTTTATTGCTTCACAGCGAAACAATAGAAAATTGCAGGTTTTCTTCATTACAGCTTTATTTGGTGGCTGGGGGATGGGCATAAAATGTTTTTTGATAATGTCCCAGTTGCTCATGGCACTGTTTATTTCCATAATTAGCAGGAAATGGGGCGTTGGGGGTTATTAAAGGAGCTGGAGTGCATTTTACGGGGCAGCGCTGCTGAACGTTGCATAGGGGAGAGAGGGATTTGCAGCTATTGGAGCCCCATTCGGAGTTCAAATGAACGGAAAATATTTGGTAATGCTGGAGGTTGATGGCACAGCCTAGCCCTGTTGTATAAGCCTTCAGGAAAGGAAAGAGGTGCTTCTCTGCCAAAGGCAGAAGCCAAGGTGGTGGGAGGCGTTCTTGGGGGTGCTGAGCTGCTCCTTGGCGCTGGGCTTGGCTGAGAGGATGCAGACCCTTGCTGAGGTCTCCCCGGCTAAGCCAAGCCCAGGTGGGTTTTAGCAGCGGGAGTCGCTCAGCGCGGCCGGGTGCCGTGGTTTTAGCACGTCTCAGATGTCAGGTTGTGTCCCCAAAGCCCAGCTCCTGGGTCTGGGGGCCATTGGTTTTCCCTTCACAGCAGCCGCGTCCCCGGACGGGCCGGTTTTTCCAAAACCCAGCGTGGGAGCATTGCTCCCCATGCGAGCGCGGCACGTAGCGCTTTCCTTTTCCGAAAACCCAACCCTGTTTAAGTCGGGTGTCAGCAAAGCGGCAGCTGTTTAATTGGTCATCAGCGCAGGCTTTGCAATCAATTATCTTCGCTGCTCCCTTTCTTTGGGATACAAGGACGCACCAAGAAGAGAGGACATTTCGTGACGAACGGCTGCTCCAGGCAGTGGGTTGCTGATCTGCTCCATCCACCGCAGTGGGAGCTGCGTGGGGCTGGGGCATCTTTCACCTCTGCAAAGGGGGTGATAACGTATGTGTGCGATGCCAGGATCTGGTCTCTGGGCTCAGAAATGTCCCATCTTGCTTCATCTCATTCCCCTTCCCTTCCTCCCCTGCTGTTGTTGTAGACCAGAGGTGAGAAGCGCCCGTGCACATGTGGCCGCCGCGGCTGCGGGCTGTGGGCTAAGCTGGCTTAAACCCGGGGTCTGGGAGCATCCTCAGCCCGTCGCTGCATCCACGGCGGCCCCGCCGTGAGGCTCCGGTTTTTTCCCCCCGCGCCCCCCCCGCCGTGAGGCTCGGTGCGGGGGGCACGGCTCGGCTCTCCCGTGCGGCCCCCCGGGAGCTGAGCAGCCCGGCACTGCTGAATTATGCATGGGGTTTCATGCCGTGGCGCTGCTGCTGGCAACGTAGGTCTTGCAGCTCCAACCGCGGCGGGCAAGCATGCACCATCCTCAGCATGTGCCAGCGCCCGGATGGCTCCTGCGGCACCCACGGGTGTCGGGAGAGAGAGGGATGGGGAATGGGAATAGCGCGTGGATGTGCTGGAGAAGGAGGGATTCACTGGTGGTCAGGCAAGGAGGTGGAGGCAGAGCCGCTCTCGGTGCCTGCGTTTCCACTTGGTCTGCAAGTGAAGTCCATCGATAGTGGTGGTTCGGGGCCGCCGAGGCATCATGAACCTCGGGAAGAGCTAGGGTTGGACAGGGGCTCTCCAAAGCCCTCGCTGCGAGGTGAAGCCCTTCCCATGCGTCTCGCACCCAACCTATAGCATCAGTGAGTGCCACCCTGCTCGCGCCCCCATGGGTGCACGGACCACGAGCCTGCGCGGAGGAGGCCAGAATTACAGCAGAAGCCAAAACCAGGGGAGGAGAGCAAGTAAGAGTCACTAATGTCATTAGAGGAATTACTGGAGAGGATTTGCCATAACAGATCAGACCATCAGTCCTTCAGGGCCAGCCTGCTGACTCTGGCAACGGCCAATATGGTCTGCATCAGGGGAAGGGCAAAAATCCCCCGCTAGTGTGGGGCAATAATTCCTTCCTGACCCCTTTGGTGATCGGCTTATGCCCTGAAGCATGAGATTTGATTACCCTCTTAGACTTATAAGGTTAATTCTTCTAGCTGAGGCTCGTGCACGGTGGTAGGGGAAGGTTTGGGGTTTCTGTCCCGGGTCACGGGTAGATGCACAGGGCAGTGTTAGCTGATGCTTTTGTGCGATGGGGCTGGCTGAACGGAAAATCTTCGCTTTTCTCTGCAAGAAGCAGGGGTGCCGAGACAGAGGGATGCTCCTCCACCCTGTCTGCAGAGCGAATATCCATAGCGGGGTGATTTGGTGCTTTGGGTTCTGCTCGGCTCTGCTCAGGTTGTTGGTTGATTTTGGGCAGGTAACCGCATGCTCTCCTCCGTTGCTCAAGGGCAATACCCAAACTGTGCTTGTTTCTACTCTTCATGGCCAAGAGCTGCCCCCTTGCTCGCGTGCCTTGGCCTCACCCCGTTGCCTCCGATCTCGCTGGCCGAGCGGGCTCGTAGCGCCCAGCAAGGTGTTTTTTGGTGAGGTGTCTCCGGCGCTGGTGGCTGCAGAAACAACCGCCCTCAGCTGTTCCCTCTGTCGTGGCGGAGAGGCCATGTGTTTTCCTCTCGAGGGTTCCTTGGGCTGCTTCGAGCGTGAGTCAGAGCAGCAGGGCCGTCCCGGCGGGGGACAGCGAGGGACGCCGTACCGGGCCGCGGCTGCTGCCGGAGCTGCGGTGGGGGAGCCAGTCTCTAGCGGGGACACCAGGCCAGAAAAGCTGCTGGGGGGGTGGCA